AAAGGGATATAACTCAAACTGGATAAATAGTTCTCTAAAATAAGATATGATGCAATTTTTCAAATTATAATCAATAATATAATAACAACAACCAGTGATGACTAAGTTCTCTAAAATTAGATATGATTTAACACTCAAACATTGCTAGAATTAGCATATCAAAGAACCAAAGAATTCAATTTTTGATGAAATTAATCAAAAGTGTAATTTAGGACCCTTTTGACCTCAATGTGGTATTATCTTATTAATAATGAAAAGAAATACAGGTTTAGATTAAGCATTTCAAAGAACCCTATATATATTCAATTTATGTTGAAATCAAACACAGTTTAATTTTGGACCCCAATTTGGACCAACTTGAAAACTGGGCCCAAAATCAGAAATCTTAATATATGTTTATTAATAGACAATATAAGCTTAGTTTTTAAAGGAGTTTACTTCATCAAAAAAAAATATATATATATAGCATTCAGAAAATTAGTTTTTACAGAATAACAAACAAACTTGCCACAAAATTCTACAAACAATTTACCAAAGAAAAGAAGAAAAAAATCCCAAATTTTATTTATCATTAATACAATGTCATTTTAAAATCTATAAAACTTATCAGTAACAAGAAATAATTGTAACAGAATGCTGTTACGAAGTCTCCCAAACAAAGCTCCAATAATTCGTCCTTCCCATTGTCGCTTGACAAATTGGTTTATGATGTGCATTAGTGACGCCTATGGATTGACCCTGTATGTCATTCATATCTTCTTGAAATTACGAACAGGAATTTATATGGTTTAAGGGGGGGAAATCTCGACCGTTTACAAGTTCTCAAAAAGGGGGGGGGGGGGGGGGGGGGGGGGGGATGATCCCCAGGGACTCTCCCTTTATTTCATAGGATTTGTTTTTTTTGTCCTGTACAAGAATGTATATGGTTTAGGGGTTTACAAGTTCTTAAACAGGAGGGGATGGGGGTGACTCCAGGGGACTCGCCTTATATTTCATTTGATTTGTTTTATGGTCACATACAAGACTATATATGGTGTCCGCATGGGGATCTTGACCGTTTACAAGTTTTCAAAAAGAAGGGGGGTGGGGGTTACCTCAGGGGATTTCCCCTTAATTTCATTTGATTTGTTTTATTGTCCCATTCAAGAATATATATGGTTTAGGGGTGGGGATCTAGACCGTTTACAAGTTATCAAAAAGAAGGGGGTGGGGTGACACCCATGGACTTCCCCATATTTCATTTGATTCGTTTTATTGCATACAAGAATATATATGGTTTAGGGGTGGGGATCTCGACCGTTTACAAGTTCTCAAACAGGAGGGGGTGGGGTGACCCCAGGGGACTCGCCTTTTATTTTTTATTTGATTTATTTTATTGTCCCATACAAGAATATATATAGTTTCAGGGTGTGGACCTTGACCGTTTACAAGTTTTCAAAAAGAAAGGGGGTGGGGTGACCCCCATGGACTTCTCCTATATTTCATTTGATTTGTGTTATTGTCCCATACAAGAATATATATGGTTAAGGGGTGGGGATCTCGACCGCTTACAAGTTCTTAATCAGGAGGGGGTGGGGTGACCCCAGGGGGCTCGCCTTGTATTTCATTTGATTTGTTTTATTGTCCCATACAAGAATATATATGGTTTTGGGTTGGAGATTTTGACCGTTTACAAGTTTTCAAAAAAACGGGAAGGGGGGGGGGGGGGGGGGGGGGTGACCCCAGGGGACTCCCCCTCAATTTCATTTGATTTGTTTTATTGTCCCATTTAAGAATATATATGTTTTAGGGGTGGGGATCTCGACTGGTTACAAGTTATCAAAAAGAAGAGGGGTGGGGGTGACCCCCATGGACTTCCCCTATATATCATTTGATTTGTTTTAATGTCCCATTCAAGAATATATATGGTTTAGGGGTGGGGATCTCGACCGTTTCCAAGTTCTCAAACAGGAGGGGGTGGAGGTGACCCCAGGGGACTCGCCTTTTATTTCATTTGATTTGTTTTGTTGTCACATACAAGAATATATATGGTTTCAGGGTTGGGATCTTGACCGTTTACAAGTTTTCAAAAAGTAGAGGGGTGGGGGTGAACCCGGGGACTCCCCAAATATTTCATTTGATTTGTTTTATTGTCCCATACAAGAATATATATGGTTAAGGGGTGGAGATCTCAACCGTTTACAAGATAAAAGCACATTCTCAAATTGAAAGGGGGTGGGGGTAAGAATATATATGGTTTAGGGAGACTTAACAAGTAAAACTGTGAGCTACTGCTCACTGATGATACCCCCGCCAAAATATTGTTAAAGCGTTTTCATGTTATTGTGCTGACACTGTTTGACAGCCGCCCGCCATACATCACCATTTTAATAACCGATATTTCCTTCGAAAATCCGGTTAAAAATTGTCATAACAGGGCAATGATGATGGTGGTCAAATGTGGCTAAATTTGACCCAGTAGTTACAGAGATGAAGATTTTTGTAAAGGTTACGTCGACGACGATGGACGATGTATGACAGATGTCAAATGATGATAAAGCTAACTTAGCCCATTCGGCCAGGTGATCCAAACTAGAGGCTCTCAAGAGCCTGTGTCGCTCACCTGTATTTACTGATGCTTTGGAAATCATGTAAAATAAGGTTAAAATCACAATTAATAGTATTAGATATTAAAATGATATCTAAGATAATAACAAAAAACTGCAAAATTTTTGTAAAATTACTAACTCAGGGGCAGCAACCCAACAATGGGTTGTCGGATTCGTCTGAAAATTTCAGGGCAGATAAATCTAAATCTGCTTAACATTTTTGCCACCTGTCAGATTTGCTCTTAATGCTTTAGTTTCAGAGATATAAACCAAAAACTGCATTTTACCCCTATGTTCTATTTTTAACCAAGTCGGCCACGATGGTTGGAAGGCGTGGTCATCGGACAAATTTTTTAATCTAGATACCCTAATAATGATTATGGCCAAGTATGGTTAAATTTGTCTCAGTAGTTTCAGAGAAGAAGATTTTTGTAAAAGATTACAAAAATTTACGAAAAATTGTTAAAAATTGACTATAAAGGGCAATAACTCCTAAAGGGGTCGACTGACAATTTTGGATCTTACTTTGCCGAACATTATTGCTGTTTACAGTTTATCTCTATCTATAATAATATTCAAGATAATAACCAATAAAATGCTCCGCAGGGCGCAGCTTGATACGACCGCAGAGGTCGAACCCTGAACAGTTGGGGCAAGTATGGACACAACATTAAAGCTTGATACAGCTCTGAATTTGGATTGTGATTAAATATTTGACACAGCATAGGTTTCTGACACAGAATGAATGTGGTCTAAGAACTTAAAAATTTTAAATTGGACATTCACCTATTATGGTCCAATATCTAAAATCTAAATACATGGTTAGATTCAGCATATCAAAGAACCCCAAGAATTCAATTTTTGATGAAATCAAACAAAGTTTAATTTGGACCCTTTTGACCTCAATGTGGACAAAGTTGATAACGGGGCCCAAAAATCAAAAATCTAAATACATGGTTAGATTCAGCATATCAAAGAACCCCATATATTCAATTTTTGTTGAAATCAAACAAAGTTTAATTTTGGACCCCGATTTGGACCAACTTGAAAACTGGGCCCATAATCAAAAATCTAAATACATGGTTAGATTCAGCATATCAAAGAACCCCATATATTCAATTTTTGTTGAAATCAAACAAAGTTTAATTTTGGACCCCGATTTGGACCAACTTGAAAACTGGGCCCATAATCAAAAATCTAAATACATGGTTAGATTCAGCATATCAAAGAACCCCATATATTCAATTTTTGTTGAAATCAAACAAAGTTTAATTTTGGACCCCGATTTTGACCAACTTGAAAACTGAGCCCATAATCAAAAATCTAAATACATGTTCAGATTCAGCATATCAAAGAACCCTAAAAATTCAATTTTTGTTAAAATCAAACTAAAAGTTTAATTTTGGACCCTTTGGACCTTAATGTAGACCAATTTGAAAACGGAACCAAAAATTAAGAATCTAAATACACGGTTAGATTCGGCATATCAAAGAACCCCAATAATTCAATTTTTGATGAAATCAAACAAAGTTAAATTTTGGACCCTTTGGATCTCAATGTGGCCAAAAATCCAAAAACTTAATACACGGTTAGATTCAGCATATTAAAGAACCCCAAGAATTCAAAAATAAAACCCCATTGAAATTGATCAAGAAATAAGCAATTTATACGAAGTATCTTCTTTTGCACAATACTGTGCAATTGAATATTTCTTGCTATTGCGCAATACTGTACAATTGACAATTTCTTGCTATTGCGCAATATTGTGCTATTAGATATTTCTTGCTATTGCGCAATACTGTGCAATTGAAGATTTCTTGCTATTGCGCAATACTGTGCAATTGAAGATTTCTTGCTATTGTGCAATACTGTGCAATTGAAAATTTCTTGCTATTGCACAATACTTATATAATAATTTACACATCCTGTTTGGTGTGTATCTCCTACCATATCATTATTATTTGCTTTTAAATATAAATCAGAAATAACCAACTTAAAATGGAAAATTTAAAAAAAAAAAAAAAAAATCCCCCCCCCCCAAATTTTTTGAACCCCCTTATGATTCATCACCCCCAAACTCAATCCCAGCCTTCCCTTTGTGGTATGGTACCTTGCAGTACAATTTCAGAGAGATCCATACACTTGAACACAAGTTATTGTCATGAAACTAGAAAAATGCTTGTTTTTTGCCCCTTTTTTGGCCCCTAATTCCTAAAATTTTGAGGCAATTACCCCCAAAATCAATTACAGCCTTCCCTTTGTGATATGGAACCTTGTGGTACAATGTCAGAGAGATCCATACACTTACACACAAGTTATTGTCTGGAAGTTACAAAAATGCTTATTTTTGGCCCCTTTTTGGCCCCTAATTCCTTAACTGTTGGTACCATAACCCCCAAAATCAATCCCAACCTTCCTTTCGTGGTATTGAACCTTATGGTAAAATTTCATGGAGATCCATTCACTTAAACTAAAGTTAGAGTGCGAAAACCAATGTGTCTTCGGACGACGACGACGACGACGACGACGACGACGACGACGCCAACGTCATACCAATATACGACCAAAAAATTTTTAATTTTTGCGGTCGTATAAAAACTGCAAAATTTCATTAAAATTACCAATTCAGGGGTAGCAACCAAACAACAGTTTGTCAGATTTGTCTGAAAATTTCAGGGCAGATAGATCTTGACCTGATAATCAGTTTTACCCTGTCAGATTTACTCTAAATTCTTTGGTTTCAGAGATATAAGCCAAAATCTACATTTTACCCCTATGTTTTATTTTTAGCCATGGCGGCCATCTTGGTTGGTTGGCGGGGTCATCGGACACATTTTTTAAACTAGATACCCTAATGATGATTGTGGCCAAGTTTGGTTAAATTTGGCCCAGTGGTTTCGGAGGAGAAGATTTTTGTAAAAAGCTAACGACGACGGACGACGACGACGGACGCCAAGTGATGAGAAAAGCTCACTTGGCCCTTAGGGCCAGGTGAGCTAAAGGAAATACAGATATCAAGTAGGCAGTTAGTATAAAAATACTACACATAAAGCTATAGAACATATAGAACATGACCCATTGTCTAATATAATTGGAGATAGGATTCATAATATGGTGGATTGCCCGGTATGAAAATACCTTGTTTCTCATGACAAAGGATAGAAAAAACAATAGCATAAAAGAACAACAAAGTCACTGAAAATACAACACAGAAAACTACAGAAACAACAACAAAACTCCACTTTAAAAGGTTTGAGGCTTGTTCTCTGAAAAAATTAGAAGTTACTACTCTTTTCATAATACCTAACATGTTGTTAAAGATAAATTGAAGTGAAATTCACAACGAAAATGTTGTCTCAATTAAATGGAAATTTTCATTTGACATCATTAACACACTTATTCTAAAATGGTTGTTAACTTCTATGTCATTTGGTCTCTGGTGGATTGTTGTCTCATTGTCAAATATACCACATCTTCTTATCTTTATGCCTACTCACAATGATAAAAGATTAATGTCTTCAACTTATTGGTATTTTTTTTAATTGGTTCATTGGCAGAACGACCCTCTAGTAAAGGGGTCATTAAACGAAAGTACTGGAATATTGTCAAACTAGGAAATATAAATACTGTTAATTCAGATAGCATTGCGTGCATTTATTATTGCAATTTTTGAAGAGGGAACAAAAGTGCAAGATTAATTATTGCCATTTCGGGAAATCTGCATAAGATAAATGTATCGGATATCAGAATACGAGTTCTTTTCATTGCGATACCCAACCAGATGTATTTTTTGCATTAATAGAAACCTCGCAATAAATTCTGAATTTACAGTACTCCATCGTTTAGTGATGCTGGAAGTGCAACATAAAATTGGAAAGTTCACAAATTTATGTAAAATAGTTATAATTTCGTTTGTCGATAAGTTCATTTCTTAACCTGTTCCTAATGTCAACCTTCTAGATGTAAATCAATTTATGTAGCTGGCCTCACTGTATCTGTGGTATCTCATCAAACTTGTCTTGACAATAGACATGAAAAATGCAATCCACATTATCCCAAAATGGAAATTTTCCAGTGAGTGGACATAATCCTTATAGAAAAACGTGAAACAAAAAAGATAATGTCTGTTTTATTTCCAAATTGAGGTAAGAGATTACAAAATTGAGGAGATTTAAAAAAATGGCATTAATAAAAATCTAACAAATATGAACCAAATATTTACAGGAAATTGAAATTAATTAGGAATATAGTTAGGCAAAATGTAAGTAAAAAAAGAACATGCAAAAGTCATCTGCACAGAGAAAACTAACTACTATTTTTGAAATGAAAAGTCCCATAGCAATAATTAGACATCAAAAATAGATCAACCAGCTCAATATGTTGAATACAAAGAAAACTGAAGATAACAAGCATTCTGTGAGTATTGCATGGCAATACATAGTTCCCTACCGGTTAAAAATTCATTGCATTGGAACAAAATTCAAATTTGATCTATAACTTGTCATGGTGTAAACTATATAACAAATATCAAGTCAATATCTTCAAGCATGACGAAAAAAAGTGTTGAAAACTGAATATTTAGTGAATGTTTTAAGTCCATGGACCATAACTCTGCACAAAATCATCAGACCAGAACAATTCGAACTTGATCTGTAACTTGTCATGATAAAACTATATACCAATTTTCAAATCAATATCTTCAAGCATGACGAAAAAAAGTGCGGAAAACTTATTATTTGAGTGAATTTTCTGAATCCAAGGACCATAACTCTGCACGAAATCATCAGACGAAAACAATACACCAAATATCAAATCAATATCTTCAAGAATGAATGGAATTATACAACAGTTACATATGGTGTATAATTAGAGATAATAGAATTAATGCATTAGTGTAACATTTAATTACATGGGATAGCTCTTCAACTTCGTTCTTTGCTCACTGTAGATTTGGTTCCCGTTTGATTCGTGCCTCATGGATGAGACTTATGTAGACGATCCGCGCGTAGTATTTTGCATCCTCAAAAGCTTTAATAGCTCGATTGAAGGAAATGTTTTGCCTTGTTACAAAAAAAAAAGTATGTGTTACTGCACAAAATTGTGAAAAGATAAAACATTTTCTTCAATCTTGTAAAAGTGTAAATTGTATCCATCATACTAAAATACACAACACTACAGTTAAACTACTTCAGGTATATTAAAGGGGTTGTATATTAAGACAAGATTGAATGGGTATACTCTTTGAATCACTTGTTACAATGTAATAGAGCCATCAACATTTGGTTTAGATATTTCCAAGTTGTATTTGTTTGGAGTTTGTTTTTTGCTTTTGTTTTTAAATAAATTGCTATTAATAACATGAAAATCACACCAGGCACTATAACAACTGTTCCCCATGATTAACAAACAGCCTAGATGGTGTAAAAACTTGGCTACAATACAAAAATACTAACTGAAACATCTGTCCTATTTCTTCTTCTGGAAAGGATTCAGTTTTTTCATGAGAGTTTGAACTTTTCCTTCCTTCTCCTCTTTAACTTCCTCGTGTGGGGTGTATTTCTTCACACCAACTGTTTTAATGATTTCCTCCAAACATTTAGCACCTCTATCAACATTTATCAAAGCTTGGACCAGAACACGTATAGTTGGCCGGACTCCCTGGTCTTCTCTCCATTGAAATAATATATCTTTACATTGTGCCACTAAATCCCGCCCATTGTTATGCTGTATAATATCTATTGATGTTATAGGTAATCCTAATTCTATACCCAGTTGGAAGGATACTACACCTATAACTTGTGCCAGTTTATCTAGTATTTCATCTGTTGGAATTAAATCCATGTATTCTTCATTGATAACTGCAATAACAATAACAATGGTATGTATCATTAAGACACAGTGCCTTACTCATTGAACCTTGAAACCAGGGTCAAAATCGTAATTTCGCATATAATTTAAAGTTCACCCCACAATGAATATGCGTAATTAGTCTTGACATGACAACAACTTTATGCCAAACTGCATTTATCAAAACTTTAACCTGAGAACAAACTAATTTCACACTATCACATTTTTATGTTCAGTGTACCATAAAATCAGGGCCATCACTATTATTTTGAAATATAGTTTTTAGGTTTACATCAAAATGAACATGTGTACTAAGTGTGTCTAAGTGTCAACTTGATGTGACCAAAACTTCATTGTTACTACCAAAACATCACTGCACGCTCAAAAACACAACCAATCTCTGTAAGAGACGATCAAATAACATATGTGCGCTCAAGAAATCACAGCAGTCTAGATCAAAGGATGCATGTTACAGGTTACTAATAAAAGAATGCATGTTACTGGTTATAGATCAAAGAATGCATGTTATTTGTTATAGATCAAAGAATGCATGTTATTTGTTACAGATCAAAGAATGCATGTTATTGGTTATAGATCAAAGAATGCATGTTATTGGTTATAGATCAAAGAATGCATGTTATTGGTTATAGATCAAAGAATGCATGTTATTGGTTATAGATCAAAGAATGCATGTTATTTGTTACAGATCAAAGAATGCATGTTATTGGTTTTAGATCAAAGAATTCACGTTACTGGTTATAGATCAAAGAATGCATGTTATTTGTTATAGATCAAAGAATGCATGTTATTGGTTATAGATCAAAGAATGCATGTTATTGGTTATAGATCAAAGAATGCATGTTATTGGTTATAGATCAAAGAATGCATGTTATTTGTTACAGATCAAAGAATGCATGTTATTGGTTTAAGATCAAAGAATGCATGTTACTGGTTATAGATCAAAGAATGCATGTTATTGGTTATAGATCAAAGAATGCATGTTATTGGTTATAGATCAAAGAATGCATGTTATTGGTTATAGATCAAAGAATGCATGTTATTTGTTACAGATCAAAGAATGCATGTTATTGGTTACAGATCAAAGAATGCATGCTATTGGTTATAGATCAAAGAATGCATGTTATTTGTTACAGATAAAAAAAATGCATGTTACTGGTTACAAATCAAATAATGCATCCTACTTGTTACAGATCAAAGAATGGAAGGTACTGGATGCATGTGACTGGTTACAGAACAAATGATGCATTTTACTGGTTATGGATTAAAAGAATGATGCAACTGTCGATAATGTTGATACGATATTCCCGGGCTTGTATTTCCTATCATGATTTTTTTGATAGAGGGTTGCTGCTCACAAGGAAGCTATTAAACCAAATGTTCCAAGTGGTGAAGTTGAAATCATTCCTTCCCAAGTTTTACGGACCCCATCACGAGTTGGTTGTCCGTTATATAATATCCGTTTCACAGATGATAACAGATATATTCCTAATGTCATAATTACAATCCCCTTTTCCCGAATGTGACCTACAGTATAAGAATTATAACCGGGTTTGTATTAATATGAGCAACACAAGGGATGCAACATGTGAAGCAGGATCTGCTTACCCTTTGGGAGCACCCGAGATCATTCCCAATTTTCAGTAGGATTCGTGTTGCTCAGCCATTAGTTTTCTATGTTCGGGTACTATTGTGTCAGTTGGTCTTTTTTTTTTCATCCATAGTTTTATCAGTTTATTTTCGACTTATCTAAGATCTGAGAATGCATGTTACTAGTTATAAACCCAAAAATGTATACAAATAGTTCCAGATCAAAGAATGCATCCTGCTTGTTACAGATCTGATCAAAGAATGCAAGGTACTGGTTGCAGATCAAAGAATGTATGTTACTGGTTACAATTCACGGAATACTTTATGTATAAAACACATGCTGGTCCACATAATGATCAAAGTATATACGTGTGTATAAATAGTTTTCATCTTAACAGTATCAAGACTAAATTATATCTTGGCTTCATTGATAATCATGACAAGAGATTTTTTAAATACATACCACAATGACCTTTTCTGATTCTTTTTACCTACAAAATATTTTGTAATTAATACAAAAATAAAGACTTTTGCTCATAATATAAGAATAAATTCTGGACATATATTTCATATCTTATATTTCATTAATAATTTTCAAGGAAACCAACATGTTCTAAAAGAGAGGCAGAAGATACCAAATGGACATAAAGGCTCATAAGTCCAAATATTTCTTTTTTTTTGTAACACTGATCTTGAACTTTGGACTTATAGGCGACTTACTGGTTCATGTGTTGTCTCTCTACGTAAGTTTCACTCACATCAGCACGGGAAACCAACAGGAACGATTTTCAAAACAATCATCAAATATATTCTATTATTAGTCAGTGGTCTTTAACTTAAGTCTAGTGATCAACATGCTACTATATGTCTTATCTCAAATTTTCATTCCAATCAAGCAAAGGGAACTTAAGTTACTCTCCGGAAACCAATTTTACATAAAACTTATTTTCTATATCAGTGACCTTAAACTTTATCTATTAATTACAAAATTAATAATCTGTTTTTGTTCTTTTCCAATGACTTCTTTCAGTAAACCTTTTGTTCAAATAATATGCAAGGGAAACACAAGTGTTCATCCTGAAACCATTTCTTTTTACACAGATTTTAAAATGTACTGAACAACGGTCCTGTAACGTTTAGAAGAACGTACAGAAATCAAGATGAACATATACCCCCCATTATTTTGTGGAGCATAACTAGAGGCTCTCAAGAGCCTGTGTCACTCACCTCTATCTACTGTGGTTTTGGAAATCATGTAAAATAAGGTTACAATTATAATAAATAGTATCAGATACCCTAAAAATGACTGAGGCCAAGTTTGGTTTAATTCGGATCAGTAGTTAAATTTAAAGCATGTCATCCCATTGTAGTCTTACAATAATTACTGAAGACCCCTTATCATTATTTAAATTAGTTTTCAAATTGACTTTAAAGGGCAATAACTCCTGAAGGGGTCAATTGACAATTTTGATCATGTTGACTTATTTGTAGTGCTTACTTTGCTGACCATTTGAAATTGGTTTTTTTTCCAATTTTCCAATAGACTTCTATAGTAAACCCCTATGTTCTATTTTTAGCCGTGACCGCCATGTTGGTTGGATGAAAAAAAAAAGATACCCTATTGTGGCTTAGTTTAATTCTATTTGGCCCATTAGATTCAGTGCAGAAGATTTCTGAAAAGATTATAAAAATTTAAGAAAAATTGTGAAAAATTGACTTTAAAGGGCAATAACTGCTGAAGGGGTCAATTGACAATTTTGATCATGTTGACTATTTGTAGAGCTTAATTTGCTGAACATTTTTGTTGTTTATAGTTTATCTCTATCTATTATAATATTCAAGATATTAACCAAAAAAACTAAAATTTCATTAAAATCACCAATTCGGGGGCAGCAACCCAACAACTGGTTGTCTGATGCGTCTGAAAATTCCAGGGTAGATAGATCTTGACCTGATAAACATTTTTAACCGGTCATGATTTGCTCTAAATGCTTTAGTTTCAGATATATAAGCCAAAATGCATTTTACTCCCCATTTTCTATTTTTAGCCATGGTGGCCATCTTGGTTGATTGGCAGGGTCATCAGATACATTTTTGTGGAGTCTTCGACTTTAGTCGAAAAAGTGAGACATAGCGATCCTACATTCCGTCGGCGGCGTCCACAAATATTCACTCTGTGGTTAAAGTTTTTGAAATTTTAATAACTTTCTTAAACTATCCTGGATTTCTACCAAACTTGGACAGAAGCTTGTTTATGATCATAAGATAGTATCCAGAAGTTAATTTTGTTAAAATAAAATTCCATTTTTTCCGTATTTTACTTATAAATGGACTTAGTTTTTCTGCCGGTAAATATTACATTCACTCTGTGGTTAAAGTTTTTAAAATTTTAAAAACTTTCTTAAACTATCCTGGGTTTGTACCAAACTTGGACAGAAGCTTGTTTATGATCATAAGATAGTATCTAGAAGTAAATTTTGTAAAAAAATAAATCCATTTTTTCCTTATTTTACTTTTAAATGGACTTAAATTTTCTGCAAGGAAACAACATATTTACTCTGTGGTAAAAGTTTTTAAAATTTTAATAACTTACTTATACTATTTTGGATTTGTACCAAACTTGGACAGAAGCTTGCTTATGATCAAAAGCTAGTATCTAGAAGGAAATTTTGTAAAAAAATAAATCCATTTTTTCCGTATTTTACTTTTAAATGGACTTAGATTTTCTGCCAGGAAACAACATATTCACTCTGTGGTTAAAGTTTTTAAAATTTTAATAACTTTCTTATACTATTTTGGATTTGAACCAAACTTGGACAAAAGCTTGTTTATGATCAAATGCTAGTATCTAGAAGGAAATTTTGTTTTCTTCCAGTTAACATTACATTCAGTCTGCAGTTAAAGTTTTTAAACATTTATTAGATTCATAAACTCTCCTGGATTTTTACCAAACTTGGACAGAAGCTTCTTACAATCAGAAGATAGTATCAAGAGGAATATTTTTATTGATTTACTTCCTCATTTTTGTTGAGCCTGCGATTAACAGAAAAGTAGGCGAGACACTGGGTTCAGCGGAACCCTTACGAATTTTTAAAATTAGATACCCTAAGGATGATTTAGGGCAAGTTTGGTTAAATGTGGCTCAGCAGTTTCAGATGAGAACATTTTTGTAAAAGTTAACGGACGACGATGGACGACGGACGAAAAATGAAGAGAAGAGCTCACTTGGCACATTGGGCCAAGTGAGCTAAAAGGGAACTTTATAGCCAAAATCCTATTCACCATAAAAGTTAAGGCGTTAATCAGTAGATAAATTATGAGTTTGTTTGGTTACCTCTCATTCATCAATTTTAAATGAACACACTCCACCACTGAGCAGTATTACAGTACCTACGCCCTACTTTTAGACTGTATATTTAGTATTTTAAAGTCATTCTGATAATAAGGTGCACAGTTTTATCTGCTTTCGAAATCTTTCTGTTTGAACCTGTCTTAGTTTTCTTTCTACAACAAGAAACTACATGTACCATATACCGGTTTCCAATTTGCATTTAACGTTGCATTCGTGCGGTGTCCAGGGTGACCTTTTTCATATTTTGTATTTATCTTGCACTTTTTATATTATGAGGATGAGCCAATCAGGTGGGTGAGTGTGTTCGTATGTTTAATCGTATTGTATTTATGCATGTTTGGTGGAAGGTTAACCTTCTTGAAGTAAGTCCTGTCACGGTGATGAGGCTTGGGGAACTGAATAGGCAAATGCTCACATTTAATCTGTGCCGATACAGTGTGATAAATGTCCACCTTTACACAATAATTCATGGTGGTGCTCCTAATGAAAGGAGGCTTATATGTAGCATACATATCTATAATATTGACATCGGTAACAGATTCGATCCGGGACTTGTTAATTACTGGTAACATTAATTAAGTGGTTAAAAAGGGCCTGGAATGAGTTATTTTTTTAGTCAACAGCATTGACGTATATTAGTTATATTTAAAATTTAATTCTTTGATATCTCGTTTAAACGTCATGCAGGCTAACAAATGGGACCTCGTTATTTAGTAGTATGTGAACAAATGAGGAATGTAACTATCGAATCTTCCACAATTTGATGAAGAAAATTAAATTTATTTTTGTCTTATTGTATTAGAAAAAGTGTACAGGCAGAATGATTACAAACAACAAGCATTCTGAAAGTACTGCATGGCAATACATAGTCCCCGTACCATTAAAACACATATCTACAGACAGGATGATAACAAAAACAAGTATTCTGAGAGTACTATATGGCAATACATAGTCCCCGTACCATTAAAACACATATCTACAGACAGGATGATAACAAAAACAAGCATTCTGAAAGTACTAAATGGCAATACATAGTCCCCGTACCATTAAAACACATATCTACAGACAGGATGATAACAAAAACAAGTATTCTGGAAGTACTAAATGGCAATACATAGTCCCCGTACCATTAAAACACATATCTACAGACAGGATGATAACAAAAACAAGCATTCTGAAAGTACTGCATGGCAATACATAGTCCCCGTACCATAAGTACACATATCTATAAACCGGATGATAACAAAAACAAGTATTCTGAAAGTACTGCATGGCAATACATAGTCCCTGTACCATTAAAACACATATCTACAGACAGGATGATAACAAAAACAAGTATTCTGAGAGTACTATATGGCAATATATAGTCCTCGTTCCATTCAAACATATATCTTCAGGCAGGGTGATAACTAAAACAAGTATTCTGAGAGTACTATGTGGCAATATATAGTCCTCGTTCCATTCAAACACATATCTACAGACAGGATGATAACAAAAACAAGTATTCTGAGAGTACTATATGGCAATATATAGTCCTCATTCCATTCAAACACATATCTACAGACAGGATGATAACAAAAACAAGTATTCTGAGAGTACTATATGGCAATATACAGTCCTCGTTCCATTCAAACACATATCTACAGGCAGGGTGACAACAAAAACAAGTATTCTGAGAGTACTATATGGCAATACATAGTCCTCGTACCATTAAAACACATATCTACAGACAGGGTGATAACAACAACAAATATTCTGAAAGTACTGCATGGCAATACATAGTCCCCGTACCATTAAAACACATATCTACAGACAGGGTGAGAACAACAACAAATATTCTGAAAGTACTGCATGGCAATACATAGTCCCCGTACCATTAAAACACATATCTACAGGCATGGTGATATCAAAAACGAGCATTCTGAAAGTAGTAAATGGCAATACTTAGTCCCTACCGGTTGATAATTAGTACTGCATGGCAATATATAGTTCCCTACCGTTTAATAATTAGTACTGCATCGGAATACATAAAGTGCCCTACCGGTTAATAATTAGTACTGCATGGCAATGGATAGTCCCCTACCGTTTAATAATAAGAACTGCATGGCAAAACATAGTCCCCTATCGGTTAATAATTAT